GAACCGGTGAAGATTGTGGGTCAACAGGTAAAGGAACTGAGGAACAAGGAGATTCCTATGGTAAAAGTCCTTTGGAGGAGTGATCGAGTCGAAGAAGAAACCTGGGAGACTGAGGTCTCAATGAGGGAGCAGTACCTTTTCCTTTTCGATTAGACACGCGGATTTAGGGGACGAAATCCCAAATAAGGGGGGGGGGGGGTGAACTTGTAACACCGTCCCCAAATGTATTTATCTTTAAGCGAATAATTCATCGAACCCTATGAAATTTTTAGTGAATTTACGAGGTTGTGAATTTGTATTAATTTTTTTGCGTGAATAGTAAAATGCACGTGGGGCCCACATCGGGAGTGGGGACCGCCCGATATTATCGGGACCACATATTATATTCATCTGGGTCTAGAAAATATTTATAGATGGTGGATACTTCATTTGGGCCATGGAAAGGCCCAGAGTTGACCGATCGGTCAATAGAGGCCCAAATACCAGTATCGATAAATTTATCAGATAAAAGCCCGAAAGTGGATTTTGGAGATTTATAAATTAAAGTTGGGGAATGCATATTCATTCTAAATGTTATAATGATTAAGAACACGTAATATATTTATTTAACCCGATAAAATAAAATATATCTAAAACAGTCCGGAAAATACAACTTTCGGGGCAAATTGTACACTTTGGGACAAATTAGGATGACCTCCCGCATGGGTGGGGGCCACCCCACGAATTTGTCAACCTTTGGGGGCTGGATGAGGGCTAAGTTGGCTGAATAACAATTGATAGGATGGGGGAGACACCCTTTGACATTTGGTAGACCCCCTCCCTTCACTCATTTGTCTAAATGAGACAAAAACCACCCCTCTCACCTCACCACCTCCACCCACTCGTACCAACACCCTAAGATAGCAAGGAGGAGCTCTGAAATTCACCATTTTCACACCCAAATTCGAGCTCAAGATAGAGGATCCAAGGAGGAGTGCTTGGAGAAGGAAAAAGGTGTAGGAAAGTGTGGAAATTGAGGTAATCACCTTGCCATAGCTTTCCCTTTATTCTTCTTCTACCATGAAGCATATTTATTATATGAAGAACCCTTGGGATGGTTCTCCATGTTCTAAGTATGGATTTATGGGTTGGAAAGTGGTTCTATGTCCAAGAACGGACATAGAAGCCAAATCGACTGGTTTGCCGGGAAATAACCTTTTATAGGTTATTTGTGTTGATATGGGTTTTGTGATGATAAAACCTTGTTAGGAACTTGATTTAAAGTATTTTTGAGCTTCGCCGGAGTTTCGTCGGAGTTGGTCAAAGTTCGCCGGAGTTGGTCAAAGTTCGCCGAAATTAGTCAAAGTTCAATCGAGAAGCGTAGAACGTGCTTGAGCTTAATTAAGGTGAGGATGACCGACTATGTTGCTTATAATCTTTGGGTTAATTTCATGGGATTTCCTAAGTGAATACAAATGTGATGTGCATGAGTTGTTAATGGTTAATAATGCCAAAATAAAACTACTATTGATGATAAGTATAGTATGCATGATATACAAATTTATGAATAAATTGTGTATGTTTAGATGTTATGAATATGAGTGTATGATGGTTGTATCAACCATGAATTTCATTTGAGATAGTATACTTTGATACCATGAGGAGAAGCCATGAAAGTATAAAAGTGATATTTGATATTAAGGCCAATCATGCATGAAGGAAGAATTATATTGAAATAAATAAATATCTAGCATTGAGATATTAGTTGGAAATGTTAGTTGAGAAATGGGTGAATTAGATCCTAAGAATTTGAATTATAAAGAATCGGTGATTATGAGCCGGGCTCGAGACCGATGTAGATAACGGTGATTATGGGCTGGGCTCTAGACCGTAGTAGATGACGGTGATTATGAGTTGGGCTCTAGACCGTAGTAGATGACGGTGATTATGAGCTGGGCTCTAGACCGTGGTAGATGACGGTGATTATGAGCGGGGCTCTAGACCGTAGTAGATAACGGTGATTATGAGCTGGGCTCTAGACCGTAGTAAATAATGATGAATTGATACTAAATGAACGGATTAACTATAATGTAATAATGCTCTAGATTGAGGGCCTCAGAGATTTAAACTTCGATTATACTTAGTATAGTTGTCATTGTACTTGTCAAATGCTTCCAAGTACTGACCTCCCCTTCACGGGGGAGGCCACCTCACAGTTTCAGGTAGAACTTGAAGGTTGCTACTACCAGCCGCTGTTTCGGGAAGTTTCTGAGAAGAAGACTTGGTTCGTGCTTCTTCCGTTTTTGTTTTGAAAACAATATGAATAATGCTCATGGATATTATTGTCTGAATATACATTTCGGGGGTTTGTATACCCATATTTGCCAAGTGTGGCTTGAACACTTGTAATGTTGTTTCCGCTGTTTTAAATGAATGATTTACATTATGTTTGTTTATGGATGTACTATGTGTGAACGATATTCATGACGCCTTGTATAGTATGGATGAGTTGGACTGCGGATGGCTATTCGTACTGTACGGCGGATTGTTGACGTGTCCGGCTAGGTCCGGGGCGTGACAAATACTCCTATTACTCCATATATTCTAATTACCTTCATCTTTTTTACATTTTACTAAATATTCACTTTTTCTATTTAAAATCATGTAATTGAGTAATTCTTGGTGTTTGGATAATAAATTTAACAAAAGTGTATGTATGAAGAGTCGGGGAACCTCATCACCCGTACATGCTTGCCTTCTTCTCAAACAAATATCCCCGTTACTGGCCGCACGATTCCTCACCTCTAATATACGGGTTTTATATGCATGTAAGTGTTACAGATGCATTTTATGGAACCATCTGGAAGTTTAATTAAGAATAGTTTAATTAGAAGAGGGAAATTATCTTGATGCTATTTTTATGTACTACCTCCGTCCCAATGGACTTTGCACTTCTTAAGTTATGTATTACTTTCTATTAGGAATAGAAGTATTAGATGTTACAGTTTCTATTAGATTAGAACTCCTATTAGGAATAGAAGTATCAGAGGTTACAGTTTCTATTAGATTATAACTCTATCATGTAAAGGCAACATATCTATTTATATTCTTTATTCAGCATAATAAAGGTATCAATCATTAGAAGAATTAATCCCAGAGAGAAGTCAGGGACTTCCCCCCTTCTACTGCGCTCTTCCAGCCACGAGCAAGAAGAGGAGTAACCCTAGCAGGCAGGTTACCACCTCAACCGGGTACCCTGCTACCCCAAGTCATCCCTGGACCCGTTCTCGGTCCCAGAACCTTAACAGTAACCTATTTTTGAAAGACAAATTTTAATTAATCCATTTTTGAAAAGAGGTTTTAACGATAATAAAGATGATATTACTTTCGTTTTGGAATAAAGACACAAACATTACTAATAGCTTTGTGAAATACAAAAAAAAATGACTACTTCTCCTTTTTTCCAAACACATGACTTACCGAGCCCTTCATTTTCCATCCGGACCATTCTTTTCATCTCTGAAGCCAAACCGACCTCCCAAAGCCATCGGAGGAACATCCCCAGGCTGTCGCAGGAGCAGAGGAGACCACCCCCCAAGTCGTCGCCATAGCCTGAAATCAACTCCAGATCCGAACGCCTCTTCCTGCGCAGGTCTCACCAACTTCTTAGATCATGTCGTCGCTTCACAATCGCTGCTATCACCACCGCCGCTTCGCAATCGCCGCCGTCTCTGCCGCTTCACAATCGCTGCCACCGCCATCGCTTCACAATCCCGTTGCATCTCCTTTCTTCTTCCGTTTGCGACCGATCCCATCGATCTGGAGAGCAGCGACCTTTGATCTGCTCGACTCGGAGAGCGCCGCCGTCTATCGATCTGGAGCAGGGAACCTCCGACCTGCTTTGACTCGGAGAGCGCCGACGCCTATCGATCTGGAGCAGGAGACCTTCGATCTGTTTCGATTAGGATAGCTCACGCTGATGCTCATCGATCTGGAGAGAAAACGAGCCTCGACGATGTCCGGTGAAGTCTGGTGAATATGTTTTGGCTAGAGTGACATGGGCACGTTGAAGGGGTGGCGACTGGCAGAGGTTAGGGCAGAGAGTTGGGAAGGTGGTCAGGGGTGTGAGCGGTGGGGAGGTATGGTTGTGCGAAATGATGAACGGGGGAGTGCAGGGCAGTGGTGGGATGGTGGTGTTCGGCGGCGGTGGTGGTCACGGGCTCGAGGTTGTTGCTTGGGTTGGGGGAATGGGGTTGAGGTCGGTGGCTTGCGGTGGTCGGAGGCACTGTCGAGGTGTAAGCGTGGACAGTCCGACCAGTGGGAGAGGGGTTGGTGAAGGGGCAGGGGACGGAGCTAGGGACAGTGGCGGTGGCTAGGGCTAATCGAGGATTGCGACGGAGCTCGGGTTGAGGTTGGGGGCTGGGGATGGATAAGGGACTAGGGAGGGGGGGGGGGGGGGACAGGGGCAAGGCGATGGTGGTTGCCGGAAGGGGCTTTGACGGCGTTCACTTGATGGACGCGAGTTGTTGGTTAGGGCGGGGCAGGGTCTCCGGAATGAGCGGCGGTTACGGGAAGGGACTGGGAGGTGGCAGTGGAAGGAACGGTGTGGCGGCGCCACCGTATGTTACGGGCGGCGGTGGAACGGGCGGCAGAAGGATGAGGGGCGAACATATGTCACTGGATGATTGAACATTTCACCGGACAGACATGTAACTACGGGCATGTAACTATGACCCGAGAAATGTAATTGTCACTGATTTTAATTCATACAATTGTAATGTTAGTCACTATAATAATATTGGTCACTTTTGACATGTAACTGAGGGATATAATTATGATATTAGTAACTGTGATATTTGTCACTTAAACGTTGTCACTGTAGCAGGTCACATTTTTGGAAATTTTTAAAAAAGGTCACTTATTTGAAATGAGTTCATTTTTAGTAATATTGATGTCCTTATCCCTTTTGTTTTTTATCTATTAGCCAAAAATTCTTTATTTTTTGGCTCCCATAAATGAAACGACGTAGGTTCATTTAAAAGAAAAAAGAAAACCGACAGTCCTCAACCTCGTCCCTGTCAGCTATTCTTTAGTCTGCAACTCTTGCCCCGCCGGAAACTATGGACTTGCCGGCATCCCTCAACCCTTTCGGCCCTTCCTATACCTAGCTCGCACGGTCGAATCAGGGGCACCGGATCCTACAGACCCCTGCAGATCCGCCCCTGCAGACTCTATAGGTAAGTCTTGTGATGAAAATAATTAGATCTCCACGTTTTTTAGAATTAGTATTCTAAATCATTGATTTTGTATGAATTTATTTGTATATTGATATTTTGTGCAATTAACTTTGTGTTGTTCGTAAGTTTCTACTTACAAGAAAATGTTCTTAGGTTCCTGAACATAGTTTTATGGCTTTTTAAAATAATAAAATGGCCATTAAAGTGGGCATCCTATTTTGATGTGTTGGCCTCCCTTAATTTGTTAAGCAGTATATTAATAAACAAACAAAACAAAGTAGTTTAGAGTAGCATAATAATGACTATTTAAAGAAAATACAGTACCATTTTAAAAAATAGCTTATAGAACTTGCTGTCAAAGTTGTTGTGATTTCTGATGAACTAAAACTCTAAAAGGGTGCTGATTTATGCGGAATATGTGTGAATTTGTTCTTATTGTGGAACTGCTAGTGTCGGAGTAGTTTTAAAATGCATAGCCCCCACTAAATTCTGGAAACAGATAAATGTTTGATCTAGTGCAATTATTTTCTGTTTAACTATACAGTTTTCTTTTACTATTGAGCATTGAAAAATTGCAATCCCATAGCTGCCTGAAGTTGACATTTTTTTACCAAATAATTATATTAGTCGATGGTAAAATTATATCAGCAGTTATTTGACACATGCTGTGCACATTTTTAAAGAGGGGGGATAGATAAAGATTTAGAGTAGATTATAGATGTTCAATTATAAATAACCAACTGAAACCAAGTCATACACTTTACACCTCCTTAAAAGTAGCATCTATCATGTGTTTCTTTTGCTCATTGCTTTTGTATTTTCACTCATGGAGCCTCTTCCCTGAAAATTGAAAGTATGTCACCTCTCTTCTTTTCCTGCATAATTTTAATTTTTAAGCTACAATTCCTCTATAAATTTTATTGATCGGACTTTATTTAGGGAATATAGTTGATGGTCTCCCTATTTACCTCTATTAAGATGCTTTTCGCAGTAGAAACAAAGTTTGATTTTGAGCTATTAATTATGCTAATTCATCAGCTTGAGTCAATGTCAGACACACAACCCCCATTACTCATTAGTTTGTTTATTTGTTTATGTGGTTTGGTAGCATCAGTTACTGTGTTCTTGACCTTATAAAAACTTTGCAGAATAATGGATTTGGGAGAGAAGCTTCAGATGCTCTTAAAGCAGACCTCTTTGGTAAGTCATTATGAATGCTTCTTTGGGAATATAAAGTGAGCAGCAGCTGCTTGATAGAATGCATATCAGAAATACTTATGCTGATTTAATATCATCCTCACAAAATTTCTATAAGATTTTTTTATTATGTCTTTTGCTTGTACTACTTATAGTAAGTTACTAAGTTGCACTAACATCTTTATACATTGTTATCCATCCTTGTCACTCGTTATTGTGTTATATACTTATATTCTGTCATGTATACATATGAATCGGGCAACTCTTGGCCATTTACACGATTTTCAATTAATTGCACCCCATCGTAGGTGGGAGCCTTTGTGGCACTGGGGTAATGATGATGATGATGATGAATTGCACAACTCAATAATTCACTATCCATACCTATCATTCATAATATTAGCCAATTTGTAGAATTTCCTGTATGCGAACTCCTCTGTAATATCATCCCCATTTGACTTCATTATTTTCTGAGTAGTGAATAGATGGTGGTGGCATGGAGGGATGACATGAAGAAATGTATTTTGGCCCAGTCATTTACTCCTTTGTCTTATAAAATGAGTATTTTTTTGAGATATATTTTGCCCTAAAACATTCATATGTGAACAAAAGAAGCCGCTTTTCATTGAATTTAATGTAATTTTTCCAAAACAAGAAGTGTCCCAAACAAGCAAAATATGTTACATTTAGTTTTATAAGCAAATATATTTAAGTATATACCCAGGAAGCATAATTTACAAAATTGCATCACACCAAAATTATTAAGTTGTATGTTGATGAAAATTTACTGTTTTCTCTTTGGGATAGGGGGAAGAATATTTTTTCAATCTAAACCAAACCTAAGTACTGGAAAAGTTTCATATGCATGGATAATGAATGACTGGCCGTTTTTTGTATTTTTGTTTATTTTTCAATGGTATAGTTAGTACTAACATCCTTTGGACATGACAACATTTCTTATCTCATCTCCTAATTTAAGTTAAATGCTTTTGTAGGGCAGTGATATGGGACTTCGCCTCTTGTGGCTTATTCTACACTTTTTCATCAGTTTATGGTACTTTTTATTAGGAATAGCCCATACCCTTGAGAGCGCTCTTATATCAAGTGGCTTCTTGAAGAGTTACCATGCTCTAAATGTCAACAAGATCCGGCACTTAGCAGTTGTTATTGATAGTGAAGAAGCTCGTGAAACTTCAAAAGTCCTTGAACTTTTAGAATTTCTTGCAAATATTGGCGTGAAAAGCATCTCCCTCTATGACAGTGAAGGTATGGGCTTTTGTCAATGCATAATTGCATCTGTATTCATGTGCTCCCAGATGGATTTAAGACTATGGGCCTGTTGCAAGGGTTGTTTAGGTGAAAGGTTAAACACACAGAACTTTCTTCAAGGAAAAGTGTGTAGTAAAATCCATGTCAGTCAAATAATACAAAAGTTACTTATTGTGCTTATAAGCTAAACAATCATAATAAGTCGATTGTGGTTACAAAACAGGGACTTTGTCTTTATGCCCTTTTTATGTTGTTGTAGGAGTGCTTAAGCAGGCCAAGGAAGCAATCAAGGAGGAACTGAATCGAACAAAAATTTCTCAGGTCAAGCTCTCCTATTAGCATTAATAGACTACTAAGATGGGATCAAGAGCAATGGTCCCTATTTTCATTTTTGAGTATAATCTGAGCTCATTACTTCCTATTGAATATGCTTCCTTCATTATCGAAAAGATTAAATGAATATTACTCACAGAAAAGGATTACAGAAACTCTATAGTTTGACAAGCAATTGAACGTCTAGTGTACCCTAATGGGATGGAAGTTCTGCGAGAGTTCATGTTTTCTTGTTGACTAGCTTTTATTATTATACTTCGAATACCTTTTTTTGTCAAAAAAGAAACGGAGTTCGGTTTATCAAACATGAATTTAATATATTTCATGTTGTCCCCCCCCCCCCCCCCCCCCCCCAAAGGAGCCACACGGGTTGGTTCATGATTTAGTTGAGCCAATAAATAATTTTAGAAGTCCAAATATGGTTCATGATTTATTACATGTGTACCTTAGTGAAACTAAAATGTTGTACATTGGTCAAAGACAACTCTTTTTTTGTCTTGCTGGTAGTAATTTTAATTTCAGAAAATCATAAAGAATCAATATTAAATGTTTACTCTTTTCCTGTTTAAGTCCAATCGGAATGACAGCTGAAGTAGCATTGTCTTGGACCATGCAGGGTTATTCTTTGCCCATTCCACTTCTACAAAAATATACAAATCTGGAGTTTCTGTCATTAGCTGATGGAAAACAAGCACTGGTCAAAGCTGCTAATTTCCTCTTTGTCAAGCATTATTCTGGCACAAAATTGGGGAAACACACTTTTACTGAGTCAGACATGACTGATGCATTGAGAGTTATTGGTACATTGGTTTTGCCTTGATTTTCTTCACATACACTGATACACACAATTGTCACATGCCCCATTTTGTTCACTTTTTCATACTAATGTTGCATTTTGTTCTGCTATACCTATCATTTTTTCTTGGCTTATGAGCCAGCTAACTTATTTTTGCCAAATGGGTGTTTCACAGCGCTGGTTGAATTGGATTATAAAGGAAAAAAGTAATGCATGAGATACTTTATTTGGCTAAAATGGTTGAAATTATAGAATATGGCATCCAAACTTTCAGTTTTAGACTCCATTACTTGTCTCTCTTTCATTTTTAGGTTGCTCATTACTTGTTTCACTTCTTTTTTGGAAATAGGCCTACAAAATATTATTACTTCACCTATCCATTAAAAAAACTCTATTCACCCAAAATTAAACCTTCACCGCCCAAAGATATTTTTCAGGCTCTGTGAAAATATAACTAGGACGAGTGTTCTAGAAGGAAGGAGTATTATATTATCTGATTGATTACAACAATATATTTAATTTAATCTGAATGTGTGTTGTTTGGTCTAACCCGATTAAAATAAGAATAAGTAATGTTTGAGTTAGCAAAAAGGTGGACAGTACACTCATCACCTCAACAACTTCAGTGAATTTAGTGTGTTCACAATGACAAAGGGGTTCATGTTTTCACCAATGGGTTGTTTGTTTTCATTTTTTATTAACTCTTCATATTCTGCAACAGAGATCAATTCTTTAATTCTAAAAACTATTTAGCTTACTTGTTGTCTTGGATTGTACAGGTTGTGGGGGGGCAGATCCCGATCTCTTGCTAGTTTATGCTCCTGCAAGGTGCCACCTGGGTTTCCCACCGTGGAGACTACGGTACACAGAGATTGTGTGAGTACTTATATTGTCCCATTCTTTTTTCACGTATCACTTATCAGAACTTCCTTATACTTTTTAAAATAATGATATACACTTTGAGGATTAGTTAGTTCTTTATAATGGAGAAACCCAAACAATGTGGAACCTGGTTAATGTCATGGAAAGACAATTTGGAGAAATTTTGGCAGGGGAAATGTTGGTTCAAACTATGAACTTACAACAACAACAACATCCAAGCCTTAATCCCAAAAGAATTTGGGGTCAGCTAACATGAATCGATCTATGATATCGATGCCAAAAAGAGAAGGCGGACAAGAAAAGGAATAAAAAAGTAAGATAAAATGAATAAAATAAAGATACATAAATATAAGATAACAATAACACAAGAATATAACCAAGATAAAAGAAAAATAAATAAAAGAGCATAAAAAGCTAGAAGATAAAAATAACATAAGAATATAAAAAGATAAGGAAGATAAATGATAAAAGAAACAAGAGAGGAAAGGTAGACAAGACATCAATCGTCCACATGGATGTGCGCCCTCCACTTTGCTCTCTCCAAAGCCATACTCTCATCCAACCCAAAAAGATGCATATCAGTTCTGATTACTCTAATCCAAGTCTGTTTTGGTCTTCCCCTTCCTCTCTTCTCTGACTCTTCTCCCCACCCCTCATGCACATGCCCAAACCACTGCAAACGAGACTCCTGCATCTTATCTTCTATAGGTGCTACTCCCACCTTTTGTCTGATTACCTCATTCCTCAGACGGTCTTTTCTGGTATGTCCACACATCCAACACAACATACGCATCTCTGTCACACTCATCTTTTGAATGTGGCATTGCTTCACCGCCCAACACTCTACGTCATACATTAATGCCGGCCTAATTGTTGTACGATAAAATTTACCTTTCAGTTTGGTCGGCATACCTCGACCGCATAGAAATCCTGAAGCACTCATTTCATCCACCCAGCTCTGATTCTATGACATACATCTCCATCTAATTCACCATCCTTCTGAATTATGGATCCCAAGTAACGGAACATATCACACACCGGTATCTCCTTACCATCAAGAGTAATCTCATTGTTGCTACTGCTTCTACCTCCATCGAACTTGCACTCCATATACTCAGTCTTGCTTTGGCTCAGTTTGAAACCCTTGCTCTCCAATGTTTGTCGCCATACTTCCAACTTTGATTTAACACCGGATTGTGTCTCATCAATCAATACAATATCGTCGGCAAACATCATGCACCACGGTATATCTTCTTGAATTGAATTGATTTCGTAAGTTCATCCATGACTAAAGCAAATAAGAAAGGACTCAGAGCAGATCCTTGGTGCACTCCAATGGTAATAGGGAACTCTGCGGTCCTCCCTACACTAGTGCGGACACTTGTAGTACAAGCATCATACATATCCATGATGATGCTGATATACTTACGTGATATGCCTTTTCTAGTTAAGGCCCACCAAAGAACTTCTCGAGGTACCCTATCATATGCCTTTTCTAAGTCAATGAACACCAAATGCAGATCCTTTTTAGTGTCTCTATACTTCTCCACAACTTGTCTAAGAAGGTGAATGGCCTCAGTTGTTGAGCGTCCAGGCATAAAACCAAATTGATTCTCCGAAATTTTCACACTTTTACGTAGTCTTTGCTCAATCACTCGCTCCCAAAGTTTCATGGTGTGACTCATAAGCTTAATCCCTCGATAGTTAGCACATTCTTGTACATCACCCTTATTTTTAAATAAGGGAATGAGAGTACTCTTCCGTCAACTCACTGGCATTTTGTTGTTTCTCCAAATCATGTTGAAGAAACGTGTTAGCCACTCGATGCCTTTCTCTCCCAAACTTCTCCAAGCCTCGATCGGTATGCCATCTGGGCCCACTGCTTTCTTCCGACCCATTTTTCTCATAGCCTCTTTAACTTCTGTTGTTTGAATCCTTCTCACGAAGTCCCTATTTACCATACACTCTGGTATAGTAAGATCATCAATACCTTGGACTTTATTCCCGTTGAACAAGGTATCAAAGTATGACCTCCACCTCTCTTTTATTTCTTCGTCGTCCATTAGTACCCTTTGATTGACATCCTTCACACACTTAACTTTTCCGATATCTTGAGTCCTACGGTCACGAAGGCGAGCAAGTTTGTAGATATCTTTTTCTCCTTCCTTAGAATCCAACTTTACATACAATTCCTTATTCACTTTTTCTTTGGCTTCCTTCACAGCTTTCTTTGCTCTTCTTCTAGCCTCTTTGGTTCAAACTATGAACTTAATTAAAAAAAATCAGATGTTTGTTCAAATTAGTTTTTACTTATATTTATCTATTGTTCAAAGACTGTGAAATATAACTATATATTAAAAGATTAATAAATTCAATCAAAATTGATTTCTCTCTTTGTATTTTCGAGCATAGAAACATTTTTGAGCACTTTTATCCTCCTATTTCCCAGATTCCGAACAGAGCCTAAAGCGAATAGAAAATCTGACGCAATTCTTGCTTCACTGTAGATTCCTGTAACAGGATCTTGTAAATTCTCTTATTGCAGACATATGGGGCCGCTCAAGTCCATGAAATTTGGATCCCTTGTGAAGGCAATTTATAAGTTCACAATGATTCGTCAAAACTATGGTATGATACAATTATATTATCCACATATAAACTGACAATAGTGGCATCTGTCTTTCTATTTGTGAGGGTGAAAATGTATCAGAATCTGTGGCATTATTATCTGTAATTCTGTATATTTGGATGACACTACGTTCACAGGAAATGATAAAAAATATTCCAAGCTGGCAAGGAGAGCTACTTTCCTGTGTTTGGTTATATCTTGGAAAGTACAAAAGAATATTAAGATTGCACGCATTAAGATTTCTTAGGCATTATGTAATAGACATCATTTTAATCATTTTCATTTAGCCCGTGCCGCAAAGGCTCCCTCCTACGGTCTTACCGGATGATCCATAGTGAAAATGTACTAAAGCACAAAGAGACTGTTTCCGGATGATCCATAGTGAAAATCTCGTCCAAAATTGCATGGACTGAATGCTGATTCATAACAAAGAAGCGCAGACAGTTTAGTGAGACATTTTGCTTTATTCCATCATAATCTCAAGCTAAAAAATAATGAATCTTTGGCTCCATTGCAAATGATGGAAAAGCATTATGTAATAGACATAAATGAATAAAATAAGCATCAACAAATACCCAGAATAAATTTATTATCCTTTTAAAACAACCCCCCTAACCCCTCCCACATTTGATTCCTTCCGATTCTCCGCTGTTTTCTTCCAATTTTATCTTTTCCTAGTGCTTTTTTGGCATCCAAACGGAGCCTAAAAGTTTTTTTGAAAGGAAAAAACTTATACATCAAACTCACAAGAAACAACCCAAATTATCCTATGACTAGAGATGACCGCCTCCAGGGGAGCAATTCAAATCGTTGACCACTAGATGAGTATACTGTAGTTGCTCATGACCTTGAGGTCCACATACTTCTCACCACTCTTGACAGTCCTGGTCACCCTACTAAGCAAATAAACAGAAAGTACATAAGATAATGAAAAATGCAAAACTAGGACAGGTCTTGGTTCACTCATGAGTCACATTAACTGTGTCACAGATATGTATATTTGCCCATTTGAAGCTCTTACAGAAGCAGTTATTTTTGTTTTATTGTCTGAGCTGTCAAAATTCAGTATTGCTGTAGTAGTTATGCATTAAATTTAGTGTCACACCATCACAATTCTTATCCCAATTATGTTGGGTGTCTCTAGCTTAAAATTTAGTCACTTAACTGCTTCACATTATAAGTTTGTCATTAATGTGTTTATTTCAGGCAAATGAACCATTTCAGATGGACCCCAGCCCAAGCACTTCCCTGTGCAGCTGTATTAACAAGAAGACGATGTACACAAAACCTCTTCCCATCGGTAGAAACTGCAAAGTGACGGATGCATGCTTTATTGTTTTTGCAGTTTTGTAATTTATGTGAAATGTAGTGAGCATACATGTAAGATGACATCACCGACAATTAGTAACCCCCCTCGTCATATACACAGTTCTTTATACTTGTTATAAAAATATAATTTCTTGTGTTTAATATAGTGGAGAAACATGACGAAAAATACCTCATTTATTGCATAATAATATCGTTGATGGGCAACCAATTCAATGGAGCTTCCATGTGGACCCTGTTTAGAACATCTTCGATGCCTCAATGTACATCATACACATATTTAAAAAGATACACATAAGTATTAGTAAGCAAATCATCTCTCTTTATTCAAATATTTTTTTGTTAAAATATTTTTGGTAAGTTTTTCTTCGTAATGTTAAGAAGAACATTTAATTGTTGACATTGATTGACATTGTTGCATCGTGTACGCTGTATGGAGATAGGGGTGACGCCGGTCCTGATTTCGGTCCGCCCGGTCCTGGTTCGTGAAGGATGAAGCTTGAAGCTGACTTGGATTATATGGGTCCCGGTCTGGTTTGGGGTGATTTTTATTTTTCTAATTTAATATTATAAATAACAAAAGTGACACATTAAAAATGAAATGTAGATTTAAATGAAACACTAAATTGACTTCAAGTTTTAGACATTTTTTAGTATATAATATATTAGTATAAATCTAAATAATAATGTAGGAGTATATAAAATCATATAAATGTAATTATAATATGAATATATTAAAGATGAAAGTGTAGGAGTAGGAATGTAGGATTATAGATTATAATTATCTATATACTATAATAAGTATAAAATAATCAAGCATTCCAGCTCAACTGGTTGTGAGGTTAACGTGCCTAGTTGGAAGTCTCGAGTTCAAAACCAACTAGGCACACAAGGGTTTTAAACTCAATGGAGTGAGTTTCAACTCTGATTACTCCGTCCCCCCAACCCCCCCCCCCCCCAGACCCACCTGGAGTAAAAAAAAGTATAAAATATATACTCCCTCCGTCCCAAAATGATAGTCCTGTATTTCCTTTTTGGGATGTCCCAAAATGATGGTTCTGTTTCCCTTTTTGGGAAGAAAGATGTGATCCATATCATTTCACTTTATTATACTCAAATCTCAACCACAACTTTTTCCTTTTCAACCACTTTATTAAAACTTGTGCCCAGAAGAAATGAGACTATCAAATTGGGACGGAGGAAGTAGTATTTACTAAATCTATGGGCTAGCGCCTATGGGCTATGACAATTCCTTATACATATATTTGGATTTTGAAATACACACTTTGAATTAAGAACTCGTCATTTTCAGCAATCACAATAGTGCAAACACAATGGTTCTTGCAATTACTAGAGAATGTATAATTTTCCATCAAAGTAAATGTATTAGTGAGTGACATTAACATAAGTCTAAGATATTGGAGTTTTAATCTAAGTGTACACTATGCAGTAAGTATCGGGTTATCCAGAAGATTCAAGTTTTTTCCTATTTCTCGTTGTGCTTGTAGATTGAGACAATTCTCAATTTAGAGTTAATATAGGGGGTGTTTGGAACTGATTCTGCTTCTGCTTCTTTTTTAAAGAAGAAACATAATCAGTTTTCAGGAGCTGATCACCCCAGCTTCTAAAAAACTGATTCTATGAGTAAATTAGAGCACCAAAATCACTTCTGTACTTTCACCTAAACACTCCAACTTCTTCTTCTGCTCCCTGAAGGAGCAGAAACAGTTTTAAGAATCAGATTCAAACACCCTCATAATCATTTGCATCAACTTACTTTAATTTAAATATTAATGATGCATGTTGTGGACTTGTGGTTATAGAAACAATATGCAATTATGTCTAAGTCTAAAAATAATGACAAAAAGCTAATGAACAATAGATGAATGATTAGTGTAAAAAATTATGTCGAAATAAAAGAAAGCAAAGTGAAAAATTACAAATTCAAAATAGATGAATGATACAATAAAAAAAGACGTAGGATTTTACAATTCCAATAAAAACTTGTATATGAAAGCTTTAATTTGGGTTAGGGCTAACCCAAATTAAGGACTCATCATTTTCAGCAATCACAATAGTGCAAACACAATGGTTATTTTTTTGTTAACCGAGGGAAAGTTGAATAAATGTATCAAATTTGTAGGCTAATATTATCCTATTGCGGAGTGTTATACAAAAGCGACAATTGGCTTTAAAATGATGGGTAGCTACAGAGAGAAAAGTTCCCCTCATTTAGGGAGTGTGTATGGCTGGGGATCGAAATCCCCTTGGTCCTCTTTTTCTTCATTCAAACTATACCCCCATACAACAACACATATTTGCTTCACTCTTTTCTCTCCCAATCCTGCCTGCCCTTCTCCTAAAGGTATCACCTTTCATCCATTTCTCCTCCTCATCTCCTTTGGGTAGAGGTGGTGTATAAGAATCATCAAACCTTTTCCTTTTTACTTTTTGATCATGTTCATGTTTGTTTTTGTTAATTTGATCATGTTCACTTTAAAAAAATATTATACGTAATATTTTTCTAATTTTTGTTTTACCTAAATAAGGTTTATTAGATTTGTTTTTTCTAGAACGATTTCATACAAAGATTAATCTTTGCTTGATGGATTGATGTTTAACGCATTTTATTTCTGATTGTTGTGCTCAACATGCAGGGTAACTTTTGGGAGATTGGGAGGGGCTGAAGCACATATTGTTATCAAAAGATTGAGGCGAAGACATTTTACAAAATGTCTTCGCCCACTGAATCACCACCTTCACATAATACTTCTTCTTGGGGTTCTCCACCACCACCATCAAACTCATCTCCGCCCCCTCCTCCCGATTATTCATCTTCTCCGCCGTTGTCCGATTCAAATCAAACCTCACCACCTCCAACCTCCGAGAGCGTCACCAATCAATCCCCTCCCCCTCCTTCCAACAACAAGGAATCGTCGCCTCCACCTAGCTCGTCGAATTTGTTCCCTACGCCCCCTCCCCCGTCCCGCTCACAGCTTCCTCCAGCGGCGAAACATAAATCGAATGCATCCTCATCGTCACACCGTTCATCACCTGAGAAAGGATTATCCGATGATCAAAAAGCGACGATTGCAGGAGTAGCAGCCGGAGCTGCACTTTTGCTTTTCATTTTGGTTGCCTTCTTGATTTCTTGTTGTTGTCGCCGTAAAAAGCGAAAGTCACGTGCTCAAATCCATTACTACCCCAATGGTAAAAGTAAATAAAATTAGATCTAAATCCATTATAGTGTCGTAGTAAATTTCACCTTTAGAAGTAGGAATCACGTACTCCCTCTCTAGTAACTTTGTCAAGTTTGACTGGCACGAGGATTAATAATTAAAAACTGTGTGATTGAGATTTGTGTAAAAAAAGAGAGAATTAACTGAAACCACAAATTCTTTACTTAAAAAGAAAAGTGTCAAAGTTAATAGGACATACAAAAAGGAAAGTTAGACAAAGTTATAAATTATAAGGGATGGAGGGGGTACTTTGGAATTTTATCTACTCAATATCTTTTACTCCCAATCATTTTTTTATAAATGAAATATGTAGATGTCTAATTCTATATTCATACCTACATATAGGTAACTACTACCAAGGCGGACAGAATAATGGAAACTGGCACAACAACGCCGGCATCCACTCCGGGGAGCATATGGTCAAGATACCGCCGCCGCCAGCGGGCCCACCAAGCGGTGCAGTCAGCTCAGAGTACGGGTGGCCAATGGGGCCACCTCCGCCGCCGCCTCCAATGATGAGCAGCGGCGAAATGAACTCCGCCGCCTACTCCGGCCAACACCCACAGGCAATGGCACCTCCACGGCCAAGCATCGGGGGTTTCAACCAGAGCAGCTTCACTTACAACGACTTAGCGGCGGCGACGGGGGGCTTTTCGCAGGCGAACCTGCTGGGGCAGGGCGGGTTTGGGTACGTCCATAAGGGGGTCCTGCCCAACGGGAAGGAGGTCGCGGTGAAGAGCTTGAAGTCAAACAGCGGTCAAGGCGAGAGGGAGTTTCAGGCGGAGGTGGAGATCATTAGTAGGGTCCACCATAGGCACCTTGTGTCTCTGGTGGGGTACTGCATAGCTGGCCCACAGAGGATGTTGGTGTACGAGTTCGTTCCGAATGGGACTCTTGAATATCACCTCCATGGAAGTGGTCGCCCAGTTATGGACTTCCAAACGAGGCTTAAAATTGCTCTTGGCTCTGCTAAGGGCTTCGCTTATTTACACGAAGATTGTGAGTTTCACTCTCTCCTATGGCTTCCCACCCTTCTTTATAAAGTACACGTATGTAGTAGTAATTATATTTTGAGTCTTTTTAAAAAATATTACTACTTCCGTCCCTATATAAAAATATCCATTCATTTTACACATATCTTAAGAAAATGGGTTTGGTTGGTACGGTTTAGCACTGTTTGGACACTGTTTGGCACTGTTTTGTTTACCAAAAAAGGAAAGGGAACTTTTATTTAGGGACGGCCCGAAAAGGAAACAGATGCTTTTATTTAGGGACGGGGGGAGTATTAAAATAAAATTTGTCTAAACAATATGACATTAGTTATTATAGTTCAGTGTCATGATCACTCAAGTTTAAAAATTGAACATAAGAACTTATTATGACTAAGTTCCAACTATAATCACTAGTCACATTTTCGTAAACAATCTAATTATTTCTTATATTTTTGGTACTTTTTATATGTTCATTGCGCACATCAAATTAATGAACAATTTAGAATGACAATAATTAAAAAAACAATTTAGAATATTTTAATTAGACTATAATATTATTGTTTGGCCAGGTCTCGTTTGATTAAGTGTGGTTTCCTCTAGACTTGTCTGAACTATGACCTAGTCTAATAGATGTGTGTGGTTCTATGCTATGTGTGTTTTACAACCTGATCAAAGCTTTGGGAATGGATTCTAAGTTTTGGCCATTATATTGCTTTAACGAGTCATTTTTTTGTTCGCAATTGTCACTTTTTAATTACAATTGCCAAATTTTAAATATGGCCAAAATTGAGTTGTACTTGACAATAATCCCATGAGAATAGCCATACTTGAATAACACTATGTGTATACAATAAGGAGAAAAGGGAAGAAACACTCTTAAAATATTTTGCTTATTTATTTAGAGTCGCGATCGAAGTTAAAACGAAAGTGTGGTTAATTTTGAGATATTAACTCAAGAGATTAATCCACACTTTTTCTTGAAAAGATAAATAGCATTAAAAGAAGATTCATTTATTACAGAATATAAACGAAAACATTGAAGATTGTTGGAGAATGGATGTGCACCTTGAGTCT